AGACCAAGACCGAGACCGAGGAGACCGAGACCGAGACCGAGACCAAGGAGACCGATACCGAGACCGAGACCGAGACCAAGACCGAGACAGCGGAGACTTACCATTTGATTGACTAGAGTCGATAAAGTCTGTTGGGTTGATGATAGCAGTTGGTTTATTAGTGGAGAATTGAACCTGAGGTTAGAAAACATCTTTTAAAATGTTTGAGAAAGGATACATACAGCCTGATAGATACTTGATATGAGCTTACTTACGTTTGATTGACTAGAGTCGATAAAGTCTGTTGGGTTGATGATAGCAGTTGGTTTATTCTTTTAGAGAAGGTTATCAGTGTGGAACTTCTTCAGATTAGTGACAGTTGAATTAGAAGAATCTGAAAAAAAAGAACATTAGTTATGTTACATGGATGAATACATAATTGATTTATCCTGAATATCATAATTGATATCATTATTGAATATCATAATTGATTGTATACATGATTGATGTATCATTAATTGATAAAATAAATCAAATATATACCTAGTTTTCATACATTACTTGATAATACCACTTCCTACAGTTTTCTTCAATTTGTACATTATGTGTTGATGTGACTTAGTCCGAATACTCAGAAATAAAATGTAATAATGTCACAACGGTTTACAATTCGCACTTGGTTGTACAGTTAGGACCAACAAGTTAAGACTAAGACCAAGACCAAGACCAAGACCAGGAAAACAAGTTAATACCAATACCAAGACCAAGACCAGGGAAACAAGACCAAGACCAAGACAAAGACCAAGACCAAGACCAAGACCAAGACCAAGGCCAAGACCAGGGAACAAGTTAATACCAAGACCAAGACCAAGACCAGGGAAACAAGTTAAGACCAAGACCAAGACCAAGACCAAGACCAAGACCAGAGAAACAAGTTAATACCAAGACCAAGACCAGGGAAACAAGTTAAGACCAAGACCAAGACCAAGACCAGGGAAACAAGTTAGGACCAAGACCAAGAGCAGGGCAACAAGACCAAGACCAAGACCAGGGCAACGAGTTAAGATCAAGACCAGGGCAACAAGTTAAGACCAAGACCAAAACCAAGACCAAGACCAGGGCAATAAGTTAAGACCAAGACCAGGAAAACAAGTTAATACCAAGACCAAGACCAAAACCAGGGAAACAAGTTAATACGAAGACCAAGACCAAGACCAGGAAAACAAGTTAAGACCAAGACCAAGACCAAGACCAGGGCAACAAGACCAAGACCAAGACCAGGGAAACGAGTTAAGATCAAGACCAGGGCAACAAGTTAAGACCAAGACCAAGACCAAGACCAAGACCAAGACCAGGGCAACAAGTTAAGACCAAGACCAATACCAAGACCAATACCAAGACCAAGACCAAGACCAGGGCAACAAGTTAAGACCAAGACCAAGACCAAGACCAGGGCAACAAGTTAAGACCAAGACCAAGACCAAGACCAATACCAAGACCAAAACTAATACCAAGACCAGGGCAACAAGTTAAGACCAAGACCAGGCCAACAAGTTAAGACCAAGACCAATACCAAGACCAAGATTAAGACCAGGGCAACAAGTTAAGACCACGACCAAGACCACGTGCAAGACCAAGACCAAGACCAGGGCAACAAGTTAAGACCAAGACCAAAGACCTAAGTTAAGATATGAGTTTACTGTTGGATTGACTAGAGTCGATGAAGTCGGTTGAGTCGATGGTGGCAGTTGATTCAGTAGTGGAGAATTGAACCTGCAATAAAAAAACAAAAGGTTAGAATACATCTTTTAAAATTTTTGAGAAAGGATACATACAGCCTGATAGATACTTGATATGAGCTTACTTACGTTTGATTGACTAGAGTCGATAAAGTCGGTTGAGTCGATGGTGGCAGTTGATTCAGTAGTGGAGAATTGAACCTGCAATAACAAAAAACAAAAGGTTAGAATACATCTTTTAAAATGTTTGAAAAAGGATACATACAGCCTGATAGATACTTGATATGAGCTTACTGTTTGATTGACTAGAGTCGATAAAGTCTGTTGGGTTGATGATAGCAGTTGGTTCATTAGTGGAGAATTGAACCTGCAATAAAAAAACAAGGTTAGAATACATCTTTTAGAGAAGGTTATCAGTGTGGAACTTCTTCAGATTAGTGACAGTTGAATTAGAAGGATCTGAAAAAAAAGAACATTAGTTATGTTACATGGATGAATACATAATTGATGATGTATCATTAATTGATAAAATAAATCAAATATATACCTAGTTTTCATACATTACTTGATAATTCCACTTCCTACAGTTTTCTTCAATTTGTACATTATGTGTTGATGTGACTTAGTCCAAATACTCAGAAATAAAATGTAATAATGTCACAACGGTTTACAATTCGCACTTGGATGTACAGAAAACGAATTTATGAATTGAAAGCAGTGATAAAAAGTGTAATGAATGATAATTACACATTGCATTATTTTAAATGATTCAAATGATTACATGATTATTGATTAAAAATAGAATAGATGGTTATTTTGTTAGTGTTATTAAAACTAGAACTACGCATGCACTGTAATATATTAATCCATACGAAAGCTACCATGCAAACAATCATTCGAATCATGAAATGCAAAGTCTTATTAAATTTGATATTTAATTCAATGATTAATTTTTTTTAACATTTTCTTTGATTATCTAGGGTTTCTTAATTTTTTATATAAATCAAGTAAAATATTTAAAGCGCCGCATTCATCCAAAGTGCGATGACGTCGATGGCAAATTCAAATCTGCTGAGTGTTAAAAGGACATCAATGTAATTGCAAATCGATGATAAATGTACTTATTAACAAAATTCAATCAATAAAACTTATTGGTTTTTTAACTTACTTTTAAGAATCTTCAGTATATTTTTCAGACAGCCTCAGGATGCTTCAGACATCTTTGGAATATTTACTAAATGCTCGATATTTAATGAGACATGTCGCTTTTTCATTTGATGGCCACCAATCAAAATCACTTCTACAGTCTTAAAATGACAGTGATGATGTCAGATGAAAGCATTTGAAGAAATATAAAAACATTGTAAACTGTCTGAAAGCAGACAAAAAAAATAACCCAAACAACTAGGCCGATTGTTATGCAAATCTAATCAACATACCTTAAAGCAATATGACACTCAAACCTAGTTATTGTGTTAATGAATGAGTTTCCTCAGATTATTAACTTCAACCAATGAACACTAGATTTGTCAGGGGCTCCGACTGATTTCAATTGCAAAATTATTTCCAAAGCAGCTTCATTTTGCTTTCCAATACGAATAAAAACATTGGTCTGAACCTGTAAAATATAGAAATAAGTATTAAATTGGAATGAACATTATTATAAATGCATTATTAAAATGATGCCGATGTTCCTCTATCTCGAATAAATAGTAATCCAATAAATATTAAGGCTTCTTGTTTAATAAGTCTTACCATCTATACCTACTACGATAAAGATAAAGATAAATAGAATTCATTATCAGTTTTAAATAAAATCATCCCAAAAAATTAATGCACATACAAAATTATCAAATGACAATTGTATCAATCATTATTTCTTTATACTTAATAAAAAAAATCAAAATGCTTCGTATGAAATAAGCACGAGTAAGAAATCTTACACAGGTACAACCTAAGCCGTGAAATATTAAAACTTCTGATAAAACTTTAAACAAATTGTACTGTTCAATGATAACTAAACTATTTGAGAGTAATGATAAAGCAACCAAGTCTAATAAAAAGTAACAACTTTACAAAATGCTCACTTTCTAAATTATGTTTCATAAAGTCTTCCAGATTTCTAATTGTAAAGCTTAGCTTAGTCAACTAAATAGTTTCATATGATATTTGAAATCAATCAGATGGATTGACTTGAGTAACATTACTTGACATAAATCGAGCACATGGTTAGTTGAAAATTAAATTTCAAAAAACACTAAATTATTATTCACAAAGTCGTCTAGGATTCTAAATGTCAGCTAAGTCGACTAAATAGTTTCATATTATATTTAAAATTATCGGACAAGATACAGCTAGGGCACAAGATGAGTGATGGATCGAGTTGTGTAACATTACCAAAAAAAAATCAAGCACATGGTTAGTTAAACTATAAAAAGCATTTTGATTACATAATGATTTTGATGATAATTCCAATATCGATACATGGTATATAACATATTTGTATAATTCAGAAAGCCCAAAACAATATACTGAGAATGATATGCAGCACTTGATGGGTTTATATATAATTCACGAGGACCTAAAAATTCCCAATAGAAGTCATTAAAAGCAGAAGGTTGATTGTTCGAGACAAATTGGATACATATGTCAATCCCAGTCAGTCGAAAAACTAAAGAGAAAATGGCTGAGTGATCTATGATCCAGAACATAATTCTGCAAGTTATTTATAATTACTATTTGCTCACTTATTTAATTCTATTTCTTTTACTACATTTTTTAACTCCCCTTAGGGTAATTTATAGTAATCGTGAGGTTTCTGGACATTTTGACATACATTACAAAAAATGGATGTATGTGTGCGTGTCAAAAATGTTAATGTTTTTAAAAATAATTTTTGGTACGGGAAGTTCCAGCAAGTTGCCTTAAGGAACGATGCCGTGCGCCCCACTAGTTTTATTTCGATTTTCAACATCTTTGCTTGTAACTTACAGGTTATGTTGTAAAAATATTACCTATAAGTGTATATATAACTTTTAAAAAATCTGTATTGGAATTCGATGCATCAAAACTGACTACTAAATCACAAGCAAGAATCAGCACGAACCCATAAAACTCGTTCTTAACAAAACTATCAAATGTCTATATACTAAATGTCTATTACCATACCTTTCAATTACTATCCGATCCGCCGCTCGTGACTTCTAAGGGTGCTCCATTTTTCTTGCATCACAAAATATTTCTTGCACAACTAACTACATTATTTATATAGCACTCACTTCTTTTTTTGCCATTTGTTTTCACTAGAATCCCATAAAGAACTAAGGCGCCTTCAATAAGTGCTGACAGGTCGCCATTTTGTGCAACTTCAGAGTTTTCGATCGGTGAACAGTAGCGCCACAAAGGGCGCCAATTTCAAATTTGAATTTTGACTAAATGATATATGCAAATTGTTATAAATTTATTTCACATTTGTAACGCATTGCAAATATAATAAGTATTGAAGTAAAACTTTTTTGTTGTTGTATGAGATGGCATTTAAGTAAAAATAAATACATCATATAACAATTTTGAATAACGTTCATCAGTAATATGGTAACACTCGTGATGCACACATTTATTAGTGTCAACCATTATACACATTTATATGATAATGATAAATTATATATTTATAATAGCATTAAAAATATGTATAATATTTACAAACAATAATGTAATTAAAGTCATACTTCGGATATGACATTGTCGGTTTATCATTGTAATTAGCATTTAAAAATTAACCTTCATTAAAGAAATGAAGTAATTGCTGATTAATAAATTCACACAGTAAACTTGTAACAAATAAATAGTTTATTTATAGCATAGATGTCTATTATAAAGTATATATGTATAGAAATGATACAAACCTACACAAACTATTCTTGTGCTTCAACTCTTGTCTAGATTAATAAATCTGAATATCAATTTATTCTTCATTATGCAACTTTGTAATACTTAGCATGATCGAAAAACATGTAGACTTCATCTAAACTACCAAAAATATCTGAGATATAATTCTGAAAAGGATATATCTTCGGCATGATAGAATAAAGGTGTACTGCTTCAATATTTTTATTATCTATAAAAATGCAGATAATTATTATGTTAAACAACGCCAAATATTGTTTTTGCAACTTCACTCATCATGTAATAATTCTGTTTGAAGAACTTTATGTAATTATAATTAACATACATTCATTGGCTGATGGTATTTTTTTTTACTTTTTTGTTGACGATATAATCTCAGTCTTCGAGCAGCTATAAAACCTGTCTTGACTGAAAAATATTTTCTATTTTGACTTGTTTTTTATTTTAAATCTTGTTTATATATTCATTTAATTATTAATTTGCTCTTATTTAAAATCAAATCAGTGTTAAATTGAACCATACAATATATAAAAGATATACAAAATATATCAATTTTTATTTATACAAAATACAAAAATTAAACGCATATTATTATTGCTCCTATTATTTTTTTACAGACAGAGGAATACCTTGAAATTAAATTAATAACAAAAATATGCACATACTTTATTTATTTAATAAAAAAAAAAAACTTTCTGTTTAGTTTTACAATTGCGTTCGACTTTCAACACTAAAGAGCACTTATATATATTTTTTTTAAATCATTTCCTCTTGTTCAACCATTTTGCAACACTGTCTTTGTTAACTTTTAACCATTTTATATTATTGGAAACAGTTTCCAGGGCTTGTTTCCGAGCAGCAGCTCCTGCTCCGGCCTCCGGAAATTTGGCAAAGAAGTCATTCATCTGAAAAATTAAATTTTAATTCGGGACATTTTTTTGGTTTTTGTCAAATAACTCAAATACTTTATATAAAACCACCCCTTTTCAATTACACAGGGTGAAACTAGATAAAATTTACAACATTTCCTAGGTCACACTTTTATACACTCCGATATAAAAATTTTGAATAAATGATAATTTTGTATCATCTTTCATATCGTCTTTTTACCTCTTTCAGCCTATCCTCAGTAGTAAATCTGTCGGTAACAGCTGGAATAAGTCTGCCCAAATTTTTTCCCCCAATCCGAACCTGTCGATCATTTTTTGCCAATTGTCCTGGACGTATTTCCAGGTTGCATCAGTACTTAAAGGATTTGCAGAAATCGAGGACATGCATTTGAAATAATCCTGCCCTCGAACGTTTTCTTCTAGCCAGGCCAAATCTGTATACCTGGGGAGGAAAAAATTGATAAAAATTGATAAAAATTAGATGAAAATTAGATAAAAATTAGATAAAAATAGTATAGAAAGGTGATTTTTTGTGCAAAAAGTTTTTTGAAGTTTTGACTAAATATTTAAATAAATGAATGTATATACTCTAGTACAAAATTATTATTTAAAACCTCTTTTTAGTCAAGAAGGATCTTCTGAGCTAATATATACAACAAAGATTTCAAAATTCGTTAAAAATAATTTAAAATTAAATGAAATGGTAATTTTGATACTAATAATTTTTTTTGAAGTTTAAGCTATTTATTTGAGTCAAAAATGTTTATTTTAGTATATATTTGTTAGTTAAAATCGCTTTTTATACATAAATTATCATCGCGTTGTGATATTTCTGAAGTCGATTTAAAGTAGAGTTTGAAAAATTCATAAAAAATATTTGCAACTTGGTAAAGGCTAAGTTTTCAGAACTATATATTATTTTGAGGTTTTAACTAAATATTTAAAAAAAAATATATATATATATATATATATATATATATATATAC